TAACCTCCTTCACCTATCTAGGGAGCACTGTTTCAACTACAGGCGCCACAGGCACAGACGAGGATGTCAAAGTCAGAATCGGAAAAGCAAGACAGGCGCTCATTAGCCTGAAACCGGTGTGCTGATCTTCTGCACTCAGCATGCGGAGCAAGATCCGGATTTTCAACACCAACATCAGTCAAGTCAGTGCTTCTGTATGGCTCAGAGACTTGGTGGGTTACGAAAGGGATTTCCAATAAACTGCAGACATTCGTCAACAACTGCCAACTACGCTGGCTCGTTACTGAAGATCAGATGGCCAGAAAGATTAGGCAACAAGGTGCTCTGGGAACGAACCAACCAAGAACCTATCACGCAACAAATGTGCACTGGAAGGAAGTGGAGATGGACTGGGCATGCAATGGGAAGGCCGACTGGGGACATCACACGTCAAGCCAGTTGCTCCAGTGGAATCCTCATGGGAAGCGACGAGTTGGACGTCCCAGGTGAGGGTGATATGAAGGAGATCGTGCGAGGAGGAAATGAGAGCTTGTGGGCTGTCGTGGAGTCAGGTTGAAAAGATTTCAGGGAACAGAGTTCACTAGAGACGTGCTACTGAAGTGGTATGTTCCATTAGGAACCCAGGGGACTAATAATAATAATAATATACTTCGTAAGCAAGTGCACTCATGTGGCCCGGAAATTAAATTGTTGTAACATCTACTCACTATTTGCGTGATCACACCCTATTAGCTGAAAATGAATGTTGTAAGACCAAATTGCGAAGAAACTTCTTTGTCAGTAAGTTCTCTCACATCTGGAATAGACTTCCTGAGGAAATACGTACCGCAGGCACATTATCTACCTTTCGTTCTGCACTTAATAAGCTCCTAATGGATGATCAGTCTGTCACTCGCCTAGGCACTATCAATACGTTCTGGGCCAATGAAAGCATACTAGGACCTCTGAACGTATAGAGCATAGCTATCATAAATCTCAGGTACTTTTTACCTCAGTGGACTCACAAAGGGTATTTGACTACTTGTCCATCTAGTGGGACTGTGCAGTACAAATACATGACCAGTGTTCCCTTTAAGTTTGCCAACAAAAGCTGCCTATCTAATAACTCGTAAGAACTTCATCTGATAAAAAAAGGAAGACTCATTCTCATATGAATAAATTAAAGTTAACATATAGCTCGAATGACCTTAAAAGATAAGAACTTCTCTCCTCCCGGTTTGTTTTACATGGTATTCCATAGTCCAGTTTCTCCCTGCGCTTTCTTTTCTCTTTTCTTTTCAGCATCAGCTTGACGAGAAAGTCCTAAGCATTAGTTTGATCAAAACGTATCAACTTACCGGAAGTCCTACTTCGCACCCAATACTGGAAACTGATGTCAGAGGTATCCAACTGGCTCGCCCTGATTTTCCATTTTCCTGTTTCTTGAACAGCTTGACAACCAACTCACCTCTCTACCAGTACCCTAAGTGCTACAACATACGAAACTTCAAGCACAATAACTGGTCTCAGATTTCTGGTCTGTGAAAAATGCAGCGGAAGTCTGGATGAACAATCAAACTCGACAGATCACTTTACCCAACGGCAACACATCTATAATAATGCCATGTAACAGATTTCTCTAGTACTTTGTCTTGTATCAATCCATCTAATAGAAGTTAGTTAGCAGCCAATGTATCTCCTTGGCAATGTTGCATACTTTAATGTGAAGTCTATGAAGTTTTACACATGTGTAATATTCACCACCGTTGAACGACTATTCTTCCACTCTTTAATTACTTGCACCACAACAAATGTTTTCAGTACTACCAATCTGAATCGCTGGAAAAGGTAACACTTGAAGAGTGAGAAAGCCTGAACTTGGACATTCACCTAGATTAAATGATTGTATGGATGCTTACTTATTCCTGAAATCATTGGAGTAAGTTACTGTTGGCCAATAAATTTACGAACATAAGAATTGCTGATAAAATAGACGTTTATCTGACAAAACACTTGGTCTTGTAGATGGATCAATCACGTCGACTACTCACAACGCAAACACCAAGTATTACGCCGTTTGTTGTGAAGAAAGAATTGTGAGCAGAAATGACCTAAACTCAGAACGATGTGTATGTACTGTAAAGTGATATTTTCCTGTTACTTTCATAACATTTAGACACTTGGCATCATGATATAGTCTAATGTCCTCCTTCTGTAGTATTCAATACTGCTAAAACCTTTTATGTTTCTCTGCAGTTATCAATTTGATGAGGCCTGTAAACTGGCTTCTCTCATGTTAACTTAATAACTTGAGAATAAAGATGTTTATTTATTTATTTATAATATTTTGGAGTAATTTCACTAAACGTCTTCATTTGTGTTGGTTATCTTCACTTAATGGCCAGATTTGCTATGCAGCATATCGAGCTGTCTAACTGCGTTACATTGAGCATGTCAGTATCGGCCTACTGTCTGTGAGCTGACTTGTTATGGGTCTTGTGGTGTAGTCATTCTGTTTGGTAAGTTAGCCATTCATAACGTGAATTTAGAATGAATAAGGTCCGTTCTAACCTCGCCTGGTTAACTAGTACACTGGCTACTAGCCGGTTCCAAGCCAGGGTAAAGAGGGAAGGTTGGGCATAGGGCTAGCAACCCCACCCCGCAAAATAAATCTAACCGCTAAGGAAACTTCAAAGCACAAACGAAATATAAAAAAATAAAAACAAAATTATTCCTCGCTGGGATCGGAGAGGCGGAATGACGCCAGTTGGTGAAAGCCTGGCCTCGAGAAGCCAATTGACCGATGTGTCTTCGCTTCCTCGATGAAAGCGAAAGTAAACGTGGGGACATGGAATGTCCGCACGATGTTTGAACCCAGCAAGGCAGCCCAGATTACCAACGAGGTGAAGAGGTATCACACTGATGTGCTAGGAATTTGGGAAAGCAGATGGAATGGGAGTGGACTCTCAAAGTGTCAACTGGAGAATCAATAATCTACTCCGGTCACCCAGACGACAGCCATGAGCACAACACACTGAAGGAATGGCTATTATGATGTCCCCAACAGCATGGAAGGCTGCCTCTTGTGCAGTGGGAGCCGATCTCCTACACTATCAAGGTCATGACAGCCTGATAATCTGGGGAGCGTTGGTATGCAAATGACAAACTACGGGAAGCGGAGATCACCACTGTGATTTCAGATGAAGGAAATTCATAAAGTGAGTAGTGGTAGTTACTTGTGCCAGACACTACAAAATTGTAACCCTTACTGACCTTCGTCTTAAGAATTGCGCGAGCGTTACTGGTCCTCCTTATCATTCCAATGCCTTGTTCAACAAAGTGAGTCAATGCATCTCTGTCAGCTCTACCGGAATCTATTTTTGGTTTCACCAAACAGCCTTTACTTTTTAGCGACTCCTTACGCATTTTTCTGTCTACTTGCCTAGTATGCTATCGGTAAACCTAGTGCTGAGTTAACTCATGGGGAATGCATGAAATGTCCTGAAGCAAGTGCTTCCTAACGCCTGTTGATGGGGTAGAAGAAGAAGTTTGGGCTTAACCAGCTTCCATGTTTAGGATTAGCGAACCATAAGTTTCTCTGGTTGTTGGCTTTCATCTGAGATAAATAGAGGGGGAAATACGGCCACTAAATAGGAAGGGCAAGTTAGCTGCGATCGAGCTCGCACCTGTGTCGTAAGCGAGCAATTGTAAGGTCTGTTCATCTGAAAAGGCCGTCATAGTAAAGTGTGAAAGCCATTTGGGTAAACGTGCGTCTTATTACGCCATCTGAGCTCCCGCTCATGTGGTTGTCCCAAATATCCTCTATCTTTCAGATATTGCTCATCCGTTGGAGAATCACCACCTTCCTCCGTTGATTCACTATCAACAAAGGTGTACTGCCTCTTCAGTTGTTTGAAGTTTAACATGTTTTTTGCGCACAGTACGCTGTATGAACGCTTCAACTTCTTATCACCAATATCCTCAAGTAGCTTATATTTCGTTCACACTCATGACATTGACTGTCCCATGACGAGTACTACTTAGGCATTTAAATCTAAGTTTTGATGAATGAAAAGGACAGTTTAACCTGGTAAACATCCAGAAACATCAAAAAGGAATCGGACGTCGATATTTTTCCTTAGGCTTACTCATATAAACAACAGCTTGCGTCTGCCAACAGATAAATTTCCGACTGTTCTGGACCAACCAGTAATTGAGGTTTGCGAGATCAAGTCACGCCTTTAATAGCCAAACGACTGTTGTCTACTGTGTCTCATTGACAGATCCGCTAAGTGAGAAAAGAGACTGTGCCTAGACAGTGTAGTCAAGCTTGTCGCTTCAAGGATGCTGCGGAAAATGTGACCACGCTAGTGCACGTTGACTCAAATGCTCATTTGATTATTGCTGGCGATGCATCTTACTAACTAGGAACATATTCCATACAACATTAGCCGCGAGTACGACCCACTTAGAGTCTTCAACACTTGCAGTTCAGGGATCGCCCATAATGAATCCGAAAAACCGTGACTTCAAGCCAGCAGAGAGCACCGAAGACTCCCTATTATCAGTCGGCCAACGGAGGAAGGTGGTGATTCTCCAACGGATGAGCAATATCTGAAAGATAGAGGATATTTGGGACAACCACATGAGCGGGAGCTCAGATGGCGTAATAAGACGCACGTTTACCCAAATGGCTTTCACACTTTACTATGACGGCCTTTTCAGATGAACAGACCTTACAATTGCTCGCTTACGACACAGGTGCGAGCTCGATCGCAGCTAACTTGCCCTTCCTATTTAGTGGCCGTATTTCCCCCTCTATTTATCTCAGATGAAAGCCAACAACCAGAGAAACTTATGGTTCGCTAATCCTAAACATGGAAGCTGGTTAAGCCCAAACTTCTTCTTCTACCCCATCAACAGGCGTTAGGAAGCACTTGCTTCAGGACATTTCATGCATTCCCCATGAGTTAACTCAGCACTAGGTTTACCGATAGCATACTAGGCAAGTAGACAGAAAAATGCGTAAGGAGTCGCTAAAAAGTAAAGGCTGTTTGGTGAAACCAAAAATAGATTCCGGTAGAGCTGACAGAGATGCATTGACTCACTTTGTTGAACAAGGCATTGGAATGATAAGGAGGACCAGTAACGCTCGCGCAATTCTTAAGACGAAGGTCAGTAAGGGTTACAATTTTGTAGTGTCTGGCACAAGTAACTACCACTACTCACTTTATGAATTTCCTTCATCTGAAATCACAGTGGTGATCTCCGCTTCCCGTAGTTTGTCATTTGCATATCCAAGCTCCGCAGACTAACAAAAGTGGGAAATAAAGTGGATAAATGAGGGAATAGTGGGGCAATGCATTATGGTACTTACTTCGGCTACAACGTTTAAGGAAGCCTGAACTCACCAAGTAGGCTTAGTACATTGAATATCTTGGAGGCCTCGATACGTATTACTCTCACTTTAAATTAGCAAATAATCACATCAACTTCAGTAATTCAATATATTTTAAATATATTGGAGAAAATCATTGAATTACTGATGTCGATGTGATTATTTGTTGATTTAAAGTGTTAGTAATATGTTTCGAAGCCTCTAAAATGTTAAATGCACTAAGCCTACTTGATGAGTTCATGCTTTCGTATGCATTTTAGCCGAAGTATGCACGGTAATGTGTTGCCCTAATTTTTCCACTTAAGTCCACTATTTCTAATAATTTGCGTCACTCAGATCGTGAGTTGGGAAATGGACTCGCAGTCTTCTGTTAGTCGCAAAGTAGTTTAAGTTTAAACACAAAAATGAGTACCATGGATTACGTCAACGGCACTTCTTGGGTGCGATGTCTGTGTCCGTATAACTGCCCCTCCTCCGTTTCCTCTTTTCACACTTTTGTAATCCATATCAACCTTTGAAGTCCTCGGGTAGCTTCCAATGGCTCTGAAACACCTTTGTTTCGTAGATCATTAGCATGTAACCGTAAGGTATGTTAACATACCGAATTGAAGTACATTGCTTATTTCCTGCACAAAATGTGCAAATTCGCACTGGTTTTTGCCTGGAAATACAGAGAACAGGGTTTTATACTCTACTGGCAGCTTTCTAGTGGACAAAGTCAAAAGTTGGAAGGGCTGCTGGCAATGGAGTGGATGAAAATACATTCCTTCCACTGACTAGTAACTATCAGTTCTCAAATAATAATGCCGGGGTCACCGGAACGAACTGTTTTTGTCAATAAAATTCTGCATCGTCAAAGTGGTCGTACCCGTAAACTTAACATATATTCATATGCACTGGGCTGTATGACAGGCGTCATTGTTGTTATTACGTTGATTCGAATGCTCTTAACTCTTACGTTTTATTTCACTTTGTAATCGGTGTGTGACGTTTTATTTCTTGTTGGTTTTTCCTGTGTTCATACCTGGAGGATCTTGCAGGCTGGAATCGCATGTTGCGCGTGGGCTTCCGACCTTTAAAGTATATTATTTTGTGCTTGTAGAATGCTTATTCCGTTTTTTTGTTTGTCACGAACCATATTCTCATAGGTCTAGTAGTTTCTCAAATCAATATTCATAAGGTCGAGTGGATTTCCCAGCATTTTCTTTGGGCATGGTAGGATGTACTGCAGATATTTTGCCTCTGCAAACAAAGGAGTGGCACTGTTCGATTTTTAATACCTTTAGTCTGATTGGTCATCCATGAAACCTAGTATCACTAAAATTAAATTCAGTGATGTTTTTCAATACGAGATGAGCGTGGTTATGAAGCTTCAGTGAATGTAAATAGAACTTATGTATTTACATAATCTGTTTTATCTAGCGTGTGGTATCCAGACTGGTGATATGCATGGATTGTGGCTCAATAGTAACTCATCATTATGCATAAAATAGTTCTTCTGGAACATACTGTAACTAGCAATTATTAAAAATACCAGTCAGGTTTCTTCACTCTGTGAAAAATCACCTACCTACCTTAAATCGTGGAAACCAAATTGACGGTTTCACGAGTTTCAAAACACTCTGTCAACACTCAAGTTTCCTCAGACTGCTATCCACCTTCCCCATCATCACCTTCTAATCTTCCTTCACGTCTCTCAACTAACGTATTACATTATCTCCAACTTCTAGCTCTGCACCCTTCGACAACGATCTGAGTCTACAGAACAGCATCCTTGGTCTCCTTAAACCACGCTCCGAATCACATATTGGAGCCTTCAACGTCCGCATCTACGTCAAATTGGTCAACAGGATTCGTTGGCAAAGACTGTAGCAACCCAGGCCACGGATGTATGTTGTGTTTGTGAGGCACACATACAGGACCCAAGTGCGGTTATTCACCTAACCTTTCCCGGCCAATCTGGTGGATCCGCAAAATTCACCCTTCAAGTTTCTGGAGGTTCGATAACTAGCTCTCGCAGTCTTGCAGGTGTAGGCATAGCATTAAGCACTAGGGTAGTAGACTTACTACTAGACTGGATCCCAGCTGATAGTTTCTTCTGCGCTATCCGACTGAATGGCATAGCGAAAACTGAAGGGAATAGTGGAACTCGCCGTTATCTCTGCTTACGCACCCACTGACTGTAGTTCGGATGAAGTGATGGACGAGTTCTACCGTAAACTGTCTAACCTCCTCTCGAAAGCCAAACGTTCGGACGTGGTGGTTGTTGCAGGTGACTTCAATGTACAAGTGGTTAGACAGTGAGGCAGAAAGACACTTAGGTGGCACTTCCGGAGTCCCGGCTGAACGTACAGATAACGGTGATTGCCTACTACAACTGTGCTCAGATAATCGCCTATTTTTAGCTAGCACAAATTTCACTGTCTGACATGGCGTCCACTGAGCTCAACTCAGCGATGGACACAGATACACCACATTGCTGTTAGTCATCGCTGGAGAGGATCGGTGGAAGACTGTCGCTCCTTCTGGAGTACGTGTTTGGATAGCGACCACGCGTTGGTCCTAGCGCGTATATTCCTGCGTCTCAATGGACGTAGAAAAAATTTGGCACTCCGAATGCTGCTGGACAACAAAAACACCAAAGCCGTGTTCACTGAGAAGTTTGCTAGGCAGTTATGGGAACAGAAGACTACCATGCAGAAAAAGCTTGGTGCCATCTTCAGTCTGCTGTAAAAGCAGCCCGAGAAAACCAGGCAGGCTTTAGACCCGGTCGTGGATGTATCGACCAGATATTCACACTGTGCCAGGTTTTAGAACACAGACACGCTTTCCGACGCTCGACGATAGCTGTACTTCCCGACCTGAAGGCGGCATTCGACTTCGTTGATTGAGAAGTCTTATGGCAATGTCTCAGTGAAAGGCGTGCCAAGTAGGTGCATTACCTTACTGAAGGCTCTCTACTCGAACACATGTGGGCGTGTTAGAGCCTATGGTGAGATGTCCAGGGAGCTATGCTCATCGAGTGGTGTCCGTCAAGAGTGCGCACTGTCTCCATTCTTATGGAGGTTTCCCTCTCGTCACCTGATTACACAGAGGTTGACCTAATCGCAGGAGAATTTTCGTGAGACCTAGAATATGTAAATGACATAGTCCTGTTAGGTGAAAATGCTGACAAGATGCAGAGATAGTTGGGGCGCTTGTTACGTATGCCTAGTCACCGATTGCCTCGTCAGAGTGTTGGCCAAAGTAGGTCCAGGCTGGAAAAAGGCACGAGGTGGCCAGACTAAACATGGCATCAATGTGTTAAGTCTCTGACTGCTGGTTTGAGCTATGTGGGGCTATGTAGACTAGTTGGTTGAGGAACCAGTGGTTAGAGACTCCAGGTGATATGGCTCAGAACCGATGTGAATGACGCAGATGTATACACACATTATCATCATCTTAGCGACGCTATACCGGATCTCACCATTTTCGTATCCCTCCTTTCTCTCTTTTAGTACTCATATTCCTTTTGACTGGATTTTCTTATCTTCATCTTGGACCTGCCTTTTTACTTGATGTACTGATATGAGGTATGGCAACTCGGACCGTTACGCAGTGATGCCTGGTCCTATGTTGATATTGATGATGAAAACACAATGTGCCCATCAATAACCATTGTTATTTGTAGACTTATTGGTTCGATTCACTATTATTTAACATTACAAGGTTTGATTTGGCTTCCTAACCAAGCTCATACTAATTGTATTATTTGACCAAGAAGTTAAGTATGGCTCCTCATTGAAAGATCCCGTAAATGCGCGTTTGGTAGCGACTACTCTTATACTTCAAAGTTTTAAGTATGAAATGTTATGAACTTGAGGTGCACCTAAGTATATGCAGCCTATTTCCTAAATGTCATCAAAAATTTCAAAAATATAATGAGTCTTTGCTCAAGATGTTGAAGGTGCTCTCAAATAAAACGAATACAATTCGAAGAGAAAGAGCAAAATATCTAATAGATATTTCAATGATAATGATTGTTGACTTAATTGTTATTTAGATTCTCATATTTGAGATGTAGATTAATGACATCAGATTTGCTTTGTAGATATAGACTCTGTTAAGCTGATTTGAAATCAAGACGTTTTTAGTGGTAACAATGCTCACAAACATTGGAATAGGATCAAAGCGTGTTATTTATTATTTTGGTTATCTGTTTTTCAAAAAATTCATTATTGATTTTAATGTCTTCATTGGTTTATCTACTTCATGTCTTTAAATCAATGGTAATATCAACGCATACGAATAATTAAAAAAGTGTACAGAACAGTTATGCTTGGAATATGTTCTACATTTCAAGTTTAAAAAAAAACTCATTAACTAAACTCATAGTATTTGAAGGCTCATATTAAGATGTGGCTTCTTACTATTTTGGAGCTTGTTAGTTTAGGTACTTGACTTCTAACTCATAGGTGACTGATTTGAGCTGGATTCAACTTATTGAGGTCTAGGCAGTCAGGTAGAGTATCACTAGCCTTCACACACAATAATTGTGGCTCATTACCTACTGCACGAATGTGTACAAGTTTGCTGAGTTTACTCCAATTTCTCTTGGACGTCTTTATTTCTAGAGCTAAAAATTAAGCTATATTCACGAAGCGTTTAACATAAAGTTGTTACATTCATTTACGAAGGTTGGAAATTTCCTTCTCTATTTCTACTACTTTCTTCAAATTTGTTAAACCATGTACTGTGTCATTTAAAGCTGCCACCCTTTTTAGTAGTGCTGTATTTAAGTCATAAGAATCTAAATAAAAGTTCAATATTGTTTTATTCACATGCAATATTATGAAAGTTTCTGAATGTGAAGGGAGTACCTAGCCAGTATGTAACGTTACTCAAAGCTTTCTACCTAAACTCACAGGCGTGTAATTCTTTATGGACAGTTATCATCACAACTGACAACAAATATTAATCTGTCAGGGATGCCTGCGGTCACCGTTCATGTTTAATTTCGTTACAGATGTATTAATGAACATGGCCCTAGGTACCTCTGACTTCACAGAGATTGATCTACTCCCTGGAGGGGATCTGGGCGACTTAGAGTAAGCATATGACATTGTCCTGCCACAGGAAGATGCTGACAGAATGCAGGGTCTTGTGAACGCCTTGAGCAAAAATCTAAGTACGTTTGATATACGCTTCGCATCTATGAAATGTAAGGTGATGCCTTCAGGACTGATCTGCAACTAACCTCAGTTTAAGGAGAAAGGGAGTGAAGGAATGCGTCAACTACTTCACTTACTTGGAGTTGCATCAGCTAGGCTGATTGCTGACAAAATCTTAGCTAGGATACAGAAGGCCGGTTTGCCAACTTGTGTCACTTGTGGCGCCGACTGGCGAGACACTACCTGTTAGAAGACGAGTATACTGTGTTGCAGTTCTCTGTGCTGTTGTACGGCTGTGAGACATGGCTGTTAAAAGTAGAAGTTATGAAGCGGTTATAGGTTTCTGACCATAGATATCTTCGTAGCATTCCTCACGTATGATGGGATCACCATGTTAGCAATATCGAGGTCAGGTGAAGGGTATTAGACACGAAGGAAAAGTTGGTCGATGCGGTTGTGAACCTTCTGCAACTGAGGTGACTTAGATATGTGTAGCGTATGCCTAGCCACCGCCTACCTCGACGTACAATGCTAAGAAAGGTTTGATTAGGTTGGATGAGGGTGGGATGAAGTTTCTATTAGTCTGTGCCGTGTATATTATCTGTATAGGCTCCGCAAGACGATAGGAATTAATGATTGAGGACTATTGGTGAAGTGGCTGGAAATCGATCATAAGGGTGTAGATGTATTCACTCTTAAGCATCTAAAGCTTGAACACTTTCACTTTGTTTCATCTTCGGATTTCTCACGAGGTTTTACGCTTATGTTGTCTGTCTGATGCTACAGGTTACCACGCCTCAAATCAGTACATCAACATGAAATAGTGGCAGACTAATAGATTTCAGACGCACATAAGTGCATCACTTCATGTAGCTATACTTCACAGCAGCATGCTAAAAATAAGTGTGTAGGAAAAATGGTTCTAAGGTAACGAAATGTGTAGGAGACAAGAAAAAAGAACAGGTGAAGGTAAGTGAAAATATTCAAGACTTGAGATGACAAAGTGCGTATACATCTTTCCTATTGAGACCGATTTCGAGCTAAAGCAGAAAGGTATTAAAAAACTGTAATCAAAAGTCGTAGGAAGTGAAGGAGAGAGGGTTAAGCAAACTGGTCTACCAATATCGCGTTTCACAATGGTTAACTGTATGATTGAGCACGCTGACCAATATACATGCCTGGGAAACCTCACCAACCTTAGTGAGCTGTTGACTGAGAAAAGCTTGGTATGAAGAGAAACGGCTTTACCGACTTTATCAATACGGATTGTTGGAGTGTCCGTGACATGCAAATCGCCAGGAGTAGTATTACACACCAGTGCGCTCTTTTACAATATTGGTATGAGACATGGCCATTTAATGTGTGGATTTCACTATTTTTGTCGTCATATTACCCTTCATGTTGTGTTAGTACTTGCAGAGGTTGTGTATACTACTAAGTAGTGAGGCAAATATGACCAGGTTATAACGCTTCATTGAATTACGCATGCTGTCAACTGTAGTGGCATAATATTCAGAGGTGATACTAACTCAGGCAGTCAATTTTTAAGCAGTGGATCCCGGGTTCAAACCACGCTTACTTAGCCTAGATAGTCACGTATTATCATTAAATCCTCATATTGTGGTTCATGGTCTAGTAAATCAACCTGCACCGCACTGCTGAATCGCATCACTACAGTTCATTTCTTTGTGCTGGGTTTGTATTTTAAATACAAAATCCAATCTAAGTAGAACTTTAGTGAGTAGTAACGATATTTCTTGGGACGTTTTACCTGTCCAGATTCATCTTTAACCCTGATAATGAAGTCGAAGGCATTATATACACCACTGTTATGATTTTCTGTGTTCAAACGTTCCAAGACCTCACTTAACCACTTTGAAATTGTGAGACATCAGGTTACACATTTTGATGTTTTAAAACAAAAGTTATAAAACGGTTAATAGTGGCTTAAACAAAATTTGGTAAGAATTCGTGAAACTCACCCAGCAACCTTGTGCGCATCCCTGCAGTACACAATGAGCCAAACCCATTGTTTGAGGGCTAAAAGCACTGCCTAGACGCCTGAAATTCGGAAGGTGAAACTGAGTTTTCAACCCGTGACCTACCGATCGGAATTCAAGTACCCTAATCTAATGAACAACAAGAATCCATGGTTTTCAACTATTACTCTAGTGTGTGTGGAAAAGTATTGGCTTCCTAATTGTATTCTGCGAGATGACGGAAACAAATATTTCATTTTTTTGGCGCAAATATTTTCTCAAAATCTGGATTATATCCGATACACGTATTCTTCTACTACCTTTTTTTATTTTCTGGTTCCTAATTCTACCTAAATGACCATTTCATTTAACGTCTGTCGTTTTGTATATAGCTACACTAATTGAAATGTATTATTAACGTCACATTTTAATTTTTTTCAGCTTTAGTGCAACGACATTTTGGTTTATTTACAATGCCATCGCGAGGCTACGCTTCATATACTGGAGGTCCAGTTGGATATGGTAATAGAAGTTTTGTATTTTACACGTGTTTTTCAGGTGATCCTGACAGCACTTATATTTCTGATATGGAACGTAGCAATATAATTTCAAAATTTGCTCAAGAAAAGCTTATCAGTGAATTGTGCCTAGAAGAATGGAAAGAATGGAGAAAGTGTCTAAGACAGAATAGAGACAAATGGTTTCGTCATTGGAAATGCAAACCCATTTACCGACTATTCGATGACTGTCAAGACAGGTGAGATGTTTATCCTTTACCTTATCATGAGAACATGAGTGCAGATAGTCGACTCCAGCACCTCGCATCAGCACGCAGAGTGGATAGAAAACGAGCAGCATGAAATTTGAACAAGTCTATGCAGTAAGAAAGAATAAGTAGATGATAAGTTTCAAAACACTAAGGACACAGTATGTGCATCTTTGTTATTGCGACCGATTTCCAACTATATTGATTTCTAGTATTTGCAAGACACCTATCCTATTCACATCCTAGCTGAATGTTGGACAACTAGTGTGGCTTTAGGCTATTTTTCGTACGATTCCGGACGTCTCTCCTTAACAGCTACAAAGAATTCATCCTTTCGGTTAAGTCTCACAGACTACCTACCACCTTTGTGCCAGTTCAAAAAAGCCTAAGTAGTAAAACCTCATATCAACATCGTTAGTGGCGCTCATTAAGAAAACTAGTTCCGATTCAGATTTTTTAGGCCCTTCATCATGTTCAAAGTCATGCCAAATACGTCTCGTCGAGTCAGCCAGTTAAATTGAAGAAATCCCCTCGCTTCTGAAAATGTGTGGATGCAGACTATTGCAGTAACCGCTGTTTCCACAGCAAACTGAATATTGAGTCAGGCGTCACCCGTACGTAGCGTAGAACCAAAGTGCATCGGTTCAAGTTGCCACACTTCACAGTAGTATACAAAGAACAGGCAGACAGAAAAAGAGTGATATCATGGTACACAAAATTGTGTGAGAGAATAGACAATTTAAAGATAGCGACTGGTGCGAATATTTCAGTTTTAGATGCCAAAGAGTGAACATACCTGCACCATCGCGACCAATTTCCAAACGTGTGCTTTCGTCTCGGCGCCCCCGACCTGGCCGTACATCTCCTAACATGCCCCAAATCAACAATCAGGGAACTCATCGGTTGGTGGCCACCCTGAATCGTGTCGCAACTTCCTCTAGCATGGCACGTCTAGGATGAGGACTGCGCAAAGTGTTCAGCTATCTTCATCTTCCACAAACACGACCTAAGTTCAGACACGTACTCTCAAGAGTGGTGATGTTCGAGTGACCCTTGTCTCGATATGATTTGCGTCCAAGCGAGACAGTGTTTCGTATAATTACGACTCCTGCTAACTAAGAACAAGTAATTTCCAGGAAAAAGGTGTCGGTGATCACCACTTTCGTTTATGATAGCTATTTAGTAACTACTGCCGAATGCACAGCATACATCATAGTTTATCAATGATATCTGCAGTATGACTGATTAGCTAGATGATACGACACAAGTCTCTTTTTAAAGTCTGTTACACGCCTGAAGTGTCAACGTCAACTACTGCATTTTTCATTAAGGTCTGAAATAACCTCAAAAAAACTCGATCACCGTGACCGAGAAATCTACAAGCCGTTTATAAGAAGTGACTGACTGTTGAATACTGTTTGATTATTCTTGTGAAAACTCGTGAACTTTCATTTGTTATTTTCACAGATACATTTCAGACCCGGAACAAATGAAGAGATTTGAGGAGGAATATTTGAAAATACGCTCAGAATACCGGAAAACTGGTATAGGTCGCTGTTTCATGACAAAAGAACGAATAAGAGAACTGTGCGAATTGTAGTCTCTTTAATTGTTGGTGGGCCGAAAAACTAAATTCATAAATATATACTGTTAATGCATATATATGTGGTATTTATTCAAATGTTATTTCCGAAAAAAAGAGCAAAATGAAAAGAAACAAAGTGATAATGTATGCAAATCATGGTAATATAAATAAACAATTGCCGTACGATGGTACAGCAGGTTCAAATGTGACTTCTGAGCCGAGCAACAATGAAATGCTTTACAACCCAACTTGTTGAACCCAGTCAAACTGACACCAAACAAATGATGCTGACATGGGAAAGTTTAACAAGAAAAACCACGTGTAAAACACCGAAATGGTGACTCCCATAAATGACACAAGATAGACAAACGAGTAAAGAATTTGTCAACACAGTGCATGTTAGGATAACTTAACGAGAAAAAGTTTCGAAATGCAGGAGTCTCGCATGTTAGCACATCATAATGATAGTCAGGGTAAACCTATAAATTGTAATAACGTTTCAATTCTATCAAAGCTAGTCATTTCTATCTTGTCACAGTGTTGCGACGCTAGTGATTGGAGTGTCCCGGCGACGTCTGTGCGATGCTTCATGCTTAGGTGGTTGCTTATGAATCGGTACGTTTGGCGCAGGATGTGGTCCAGGAGGAGGTAAAGGTGCTGCTGCTACTGGTGGAGGAGCTGCTTCTTGTTTCCTAAGCAAATGGAAATTTAAAGTAGTTTATGAAACTGTTATGGACTCCTATATCTTTTTTCATTATTAAAGAGACAAACAAATCATCTTGGTCGCGATATCACAATGGTAAACGGTAGGTGCTCGGTTCATCACTCTACACTGAAGTATAATCTACTCGGAGATAGTGGTAAAGATGAATATTATTTCTACCACTTACCAGGTTCAATATCACTATAAGAGCTTTCAATACTTAATATTACAGGTGACCTGTGTATACTCAAGGATATTTGGTAGCAATGCACAACACATGGCCACCTCTATATTTATTTACTACGAATCAGTTATTCACGTTACTATACAATCTATAATCTCATCAAAAACACCGTTAGAAATGAATCTTATCATTAAAAATCACTCATTCATTTTCGCAATCACAAGAACTCATAAGCATAGGTGATGTATTTCTAGTAAGATAGCCAAATCTGGTAAGCTTGATCGACATACACGGAAGAATCTAAGAAAAGTTCGCAGTTGTTCGCAAACCCATTGTAGGTGTACTTAAGGTTTAATGACAGGAAACACTAGTTCGAAATATACATCCATACCATACAGTAAAAAGAGAAGGACCCACAAATCGATGGCAATGTAAGCTCAAGTGGGGATATAGCTCACCAGCCTAGGCCCAAAACTCCAAACTTGCTTCATACCCTCAGCCTGCGTAAATAGTATCATAAACCCTCACTTTTATAGTGTTTATATTAGACTACGTTGAATTATATACAATTAAGTGTCAAAGACGCCAATCCTTGACATATATGGTGTCTGTGACCACCTAATTACTACTTACTACTGACATTTTGTTGATTAAACAAAAAACCTTCGTTCTTCATACAAACAGCTATTATCAGAAAATAAGATACCTTACAAAACCTGTTTGCAATACTTCTGATAAGCTTACGTTTTAAATGTAGTCTAGACATGGTAGCTTTGAAAGTGAATAAATGCAGTAAACTTTGCACCTAAAATCCACAATGACCGATAATATTTACCGATGCTCATGAACTGAAGTCTAAATTTTCTCTCTGTGCAAGTTACACTTCTGTTGGAAAACAATAGAATTCATATCCCTCTACCGCCTTCAACTGACTACTACTAACTACATGGAAAATGAAGTTCACCATTTCCTTGATAAAAATTAATTATACCGACTACCGAACGTGATTTATGTTAATTCTTAAGTGCTGGCCCGAGCCTGTTGATCAAGTTTATATCTAATGTCTTATTTAGTGACCTATTCGTGGACTTAATACACCACCACAACTCTTCAAGTTCGTGAATTCAACAGGTTAAAGTCTTTGAGGTGAAATGAGTTTGTCTTCGCTGTCAAGTTATAAGCTAAAACAAAACATTCCATTTTGCAGCTTCTTATTGACTAACTCTTAACACTACCGAATTTCACGATCTTGTTTTTGTGGTTTCCATGGATAAAAGTAGTGATCACGAGCATGAAATTGGTCAAAATATCCGATGGCAAAATAAAGCTTTAGTCCTGGCTGCTTTAGCGCTTTTCTTTCCAAGATGCCATCATGAAAAAGGTATATTCCACTGTTTGACGAATAAACAAAGATGTGACATTATCGATAGACCCCATAGAGTAAAAAATAGAACTTACTTCCCACCAAATATATACCCTATTAGAGAGAAAAAAGGGCAATAATCAGGACCAGTAACGATAATTTTAATTCAGAGAGAATTTTATATGGATATAATGCAGCAATTTGCAAATAACATAAGGAAATCGATAAACGGTCCTCTGCTACCTAATGTACATTATAAGAGAAAAGCAGCGGTAAATTATCCAACCTAGTAGGACACATATATTAAATCTCCAGAAAAGACAAGTTGCACCCTAACAACAACAGGTTCTAGAAGCTAAAGAAGTGTTATGCTGGTTGAGAAAAAAACGGCTATTAGATAAGATTTTGTTCAAACTGAAGTTGTAGATATTTATGGTTAGTAATGGTGCTAAACTGGCACAATCAATGATCAACTCTACGATGAGAAATAATCCTGAATGAGTAATAAGTACTAACTACGGTTACTCAAGCGATAAGGTAAGACAGTCCGGAAATTTAGGTTCCTTTATAAATTTTGCATGCCAATATTGTCTAAAATCACAATAATGCCAATAATCTTGATATGAAATGTCAAGTGTACCTTTCTAGACGACACTTCAGCATTTGATACTTTCCCAAGACCTCTTCTGCTGGACTAGCTAGCTGAAACACATACTGACTCCTTGGTAATCAACTGGTTGTATTCCTATATCGCTTAAAGGAAATAATAAACTGTTCAACATAGAGAAGCGCTTCACCTCACTGCTTACTGAAGCTCATGTTCCCCAACGAGCCGTCTTTTCCTTGATCTTTTCTCTTTATTTCTGCCGGACTTACCATCTATAGCTGGTATCAATTTCAATAAATATTCTGATGATCTAACAGTTTCTATACCTAACTCCTGTTCAGCAGATTGTTCCCAATCGAATGATTTCCTATCTGCTGTTAGACGTTGGTCCTCCGAGAATGGTTTTATGCCTAATCCTTCAAAATGTCAGACTATATACTTTAGTTTTAGACATGAACATAACCTACGTAAACTGCTTAGTCCTCATAATTCCTGTTTTGTTGATAGTTGCGCATCAGGGAATGTTACAAGCGTGATTTATCTCGGTGTATGTTTCTCTTGGGATCTCTTCTGGTCTTTCCGAACCGCACTAGTTTCCAAAAGAATTTTCCGCCTAGCTTACTATATTACAAAGCTGAGAGTATCTGGTATAACTCAACCTCTCTTGTTTTATAAACTTTTGCATCTCGCCTATTCTTTTATTGTTTCCCTTCATTCTTTCCTGGGTCACTGAAAAAAGACTGTGCTATATCGCGTAGAACTTTGAAGATTGTCAACAAAACTAGTGGTGTACCTCTAAACCTAATTGAAACAGTTGTGAGCAAACATATTAACTTATGTAAACATCAGATGACCAACATCCCTTACACTTAAGGCTCTTCATGTGTTGGTCACCAGATAAGACCAGCACCAGGTATGTAAGATTTTATGCACGTACTACTAAAAACTTTACAATACTGTATTTAGCTTATCTCCTGTGTGACGAAGGAAGTATTAGAAATGAACTAACTAATTAACTTTTCTTTTGAAGGCAAACTAATTAAAAGTTACATAGCTTGCTGTTATTTACGTATTATGTATCGAATTTTTAGTGTGATTGTTTACCGGAGTTAACTCTGCATTTTCAAGAAAGCTGTAGATGGATTAGTTATTCTTATCTTTTACATGTAATTTATACTAATTTCATTTTATTATGTATACAAGTACACTATTTCTATCCAATTGATGCTATATGACATGCTGAAAGTTCTGTACAGTATTCCCGAAATATCTTTCAGAATAAAGTTATTATTATTATTATTGCTACCCAACTCGGTTATTTGATGAGGTATAACAATTTGGACCGTTATGCCTGGTCCTATGGTGCGAGTCAACCTATAAAAAGCGAAACACACTCAGATTCAAAATAAGGTCGAGAACACGACAATACTCAACGACTGTATACGACCAATGAGGCGAAATAAAGAAATACGATATTACTTGCAGAAGACAATGAATGAAAACTAGGACACATGTGTGCGTTGTAGTAAGCACACTTCTGTAATGATAACCTTTTAATGTGCACAGAAAAGGAATAATAGTCATCTGAACACACAATCTATAGTATTGTTGATTACGTCATTCTATTTATTTTTGTTCCTCCGATTAAAATGGACTTGAAATCAGTACTTCAATGAAGCCAACCTTTTCCATACTGTTTAGGATTATGACGAAATCATGAAGTTCAGTTGTACCGCAACAGTAGCAGCTCAATGGGTTTGGTTTATTTCGTAAAACTTGTGTGCTTAAACGGCTAGTGTAGAGTTTAATAGTTTCATCTTAGTAAACTTTTGGTCAGTTTTCTTTAACATAGTAAAAATGTTTGAGTTGTATATATGATTAGGTCCATGTAATCAAGGATTCGTTCTAATATAACATGTTTGCTAAGGGAATAATAACAAAGTGCATATTACTTATATGCATGTTGAGAATTATCTATCGGTATTTATCTACTTTCATATCAACCAAGAAATAAAGAATCTCATCATACACGTTTTTGTATGAAACTCAACCCCCCCCTCCCCACCAAAAGAAAAAAAAACACTCACGTTTTAACAATACGACACAACAGCGAAAATATTAACTGCCACAACATTCTAGATGACAACAAATATAAGAAAGATGATATTATCCATGTGTAAAATATGATGAATTTAAAAATTTAATATATATAGATTCCAAGAAGATTTTGAAGGAGTGACTTCAAATATTATGGTTACAAAAATGAACTTTTTTGTAATCTTTGAAGAGAATATCGACCCAGTAATCATATAATAAAACTGAAACAGCTACCTGGTATTGATAACCCAAAAAAAGAATGCGATCCTTCGAATGTTATCACCTAGTGCTTTAACCAACTTCTTGGAAGATTGAAACAATCTAGATCATCCGTAACAAAAGTTCTAGTTGAAGTGAAATTGTTGCTAATGGCTTCTGTTTTATTCATTGTCAAACTTACCTATTAGTAGAGTTGACACTGTTAATTTCGCTATTTGATTGCAATAAAGTACAACGTGAATATTGAACACAGTAAATATTGTACCAAAAAAATGAGTAAATGAGGTTAGAGAACAGAATAACATGCAATAACAAAACAACACCGGTGATAGACAACATTTACAGAAGTACAAGGTAACCACCACCATAGAAACCTACATCCTAATGCAATGATGAGCACCAATGCAACGCTACCGATGATTATATTCATCTACAAATAGAGAATAGTAGTTTGTACAATATGCATTTTCGAATGAGTTACTTATAAAGAAAGAGAGACAAGGTTATAAAACATATATAAATGGAAGGAAAACTTGAGTCTTGGTTGAAAACAATTCAAAGGGTTAAGGATTAATGATCTAATACTTTGCTATGTGCCTTGTGACATAAGACTATCAATAAACTTTCAGCCACTCGAATTACTGAGAAGAGTTGCTTGCTACTGGTAAGTACTGAACCAGTGTACTTAAACCAGTGACTCATGATCTAGGGTGATCATATATATTTAGTCTACAGGAAATATCATTTAGCGACGTACCTTCGTGTACATCTTAATTGTTCCCTTCTTTAGTGGTGTGAATGCCTGTATGTTTTGGACTGTAGTGAATATCAACATGGGATCTGGCATTACTACATAACGGTCTAAGTCGAAACAATCCATATCAGCACATCAACTGAGAGTGCAACAAGATAAGGAAATAAGGAAGAAAGCGGTCGAAAGTAGCAAACAGAGCAAAGAAAAAATGGTAAACTAAAATACAGTATGATAATTAGGATGGATATAATGTACGGATACATCTGTGCCAATGAGACTAATTTTTAGCTACATCATCGGTTCTTTTTATCATGTGGGTCCCAATCGGGAAATTTGCATTTTCCTAAACGACAGGGACCAACCGTAAGGGTCAGAGACTACATATAGGAATGCCATATTTTAGTCTGGTCGCCTTTAACCTTTTTACAAACTGTACCAACTCCAGCTAATATTGCGCGATGAGGCAAACGTTGACTAAACATACATCTCACATCTTAGTCAGCTGAGTCGATGAAGGTTTAAAACTTCATCAAATGAAATTTTCTATTTTACCTGAACCTCTACACCAGACCTCTAAGTTACTCAAGTGGCGACACCATGACACATGGTCTGTGCTAAGAAGGTAACGGTGTTCGGACACCTGAAGCTTCTTCGTATCCTTTACCTTTAATAACAATGTTTCGCGGTCATATATTGAGACAGAGCTAGCTAAAGCGTAGCACATTCGGTCGGAACAAGCAATCAGATACCATAGTGGCGCGATCAGATGGAGTAAGTTGGTGAAACTCAAGATAGCCTTTTGCATCTATGCCGAGATTTCGTCAGTCACTGACTCACCAACCGTGCGAGCAAAGATTACAAAGAGATAACGAAAAGTTTTAGTAACTTTTAGTCACCATTGTACCGTTCTGTCAGATTGTACACAGGCGATTATCAACTGGAATCCAATCTAGCAGTGGACTGTTTGTCTTAGCAATTGTTATGCTTACACATGACCGCGAGAAATAGCCATTGAATCTCCAGACTGACTATATTGGCCGAATGAAGTTAGGTGAGTACCCGCACTTGGGTCTTGCATGCATGCCTCAAAAACACCATACGTCCACAGCCTGAGATTCCAGCTTTAGCTAGCAAAGCTTGTTGGCCGATTTGACGGAGTAAGGACATCGAAAGTCCAAATATGCAGTTTCAGCGGACCAGGAATTCTGTTCCGTGGACTCGAATCTTCTTCAAGAGTTGCAGAGCTGGAAGAAATTGACGATGATGCAGGAATATTTACCGCAGGACGTGAGTGAAAGGTAGATAATGACCGGAAAGAACTTGACAGCTGACAGAGTTGCGAGGGTGGTTGACATTTCTCGGGTGCCAACACCAAGGAAGATTATCTCTTCTCGGGGTGTCGGGAAAAAAGAACTGGATTAGTAATACTGGCACGCGACTGCAGAGCTCATAAGACAATAGCGTGAAATTGGTTTTATATGATCATTTCGGAAGTTTGAGGTTTAGCTTTGATTAATTTGTATCTAGTTAGAAAGCCTATACTGCAAAAACCGAAGGACTACAGGGTAGGGAAGTGTCCTATTTTGGCGGCCAGCTTTTTTAACCCTCTCCTTTCTGCAGAGAAGGCAGTATCAAGGTGGCACTACCGGTAACATACGGATAACAGCTTGCTGCTGTTACACTTCCACCCAACCAGCAGTACGATTTTCCTCTTAGGCCCCACTATAGTGCACTAATTTACACTATAACGACAAATGCTTTTCGTCGTATCACTGTCCAATAGACCTTGATGGTAAGGTAAGATCTTAAAGACCGACTGTCCCCAACAGCAGAGCCCGCTGGGTCACTGTAATATGCAAAGCTCAACAACTGCGTCAAGGGAGCAGTTACCGGTCAGGAGAGGCTGTGACAAACAGATAATGAGAGACTTCAGTAGGCAAATCGATGATATCCCTGATGAATACCACTCGATGCACACAACTCTCCTGATACCTGTATAACCATAGGCTCTAACACTTACGGGTGTTCGAATACAGAGCCGTTAACAGGGTAATGTACTTGCCCAGCATCCCTTCCAGAGGGACATGCAATTAAACCTCCCAGTCGACAATCACCTTTATGTTAATAAATGCGGATAGCTTTGGGCCCCGGTAAGTATGCCTGCTCAATTTAGATACAAATTCAGTACAACAGCACCAAGAACTAGATCACACGCAAGATGGTAATAATATGAAGGCGAGAACAAAAAATGTTAATCCAGAAACGGAATAAGAGTGACCAGATAGTCGGTTTTAAGAGATATGCTCAAAAAAATTTCATTATATATTGCCATCTAAAAATAGAGGACAAAGGAAAATTATGATATGCTATTCACTGGCTTTCACTGCTATCTTATATCCCCCCCAAGCCATCGAAACGCATGATCTGCGGGATTACATCCAGAAAGTTTCGAGGTGCCAACAGGTAGTAAACTAACCATGTCCTGTTAGGTGAGGAAGCTGACAAGATGCAGAGTCTTCTGAACACTTTGAGTGGGAATTTGAAAATATTTGGGATGCGATTTTCACCATCCAAATGCAAATTTTTGCTCCAGGACTGGTCTTCAGCGGTGCCCCACTGTGGCTAACAATAGAGAGTGAAGTGGTTGAGTGTGTTGACCACTTCACTTACCTGGTAAGTAGGATCAGCCCTGGTGGGTTAGTTGCCGATGAGATTTCTGCACGAATACAAAAGGCTCGATTGGCTTTTGCCAATTTACGCCACCTATGGCGCCGCCGTGATATTCGTTTGTCTATTAAGAGTCGCGTGTAATGCACAGCAGTCTGCACTGTTCTACTGTATGGCTGTGAAACATGGCCATTGAAAGTGGAGGATATAAAAAGGCTTCAGGTGTTTGACTACCGTTACCTTCGTAGTATAGGACGTATTCCGTGGTGTCACCATGTGAGTAATGCAGAAGTTAGTCTCAGGTGTAGAGTTTTGGGGAGAAGAGGTAAGCCAGTTGACGAGGTTGTGAACCTTCATCGACTGAGATGGTTGGGACACGTACTACGTATGCCTAGTCACCGATTGCCTCGTCACACAATGTTGGCTGAGGTGGGTCCAGGCTGGAAAAAGGCCCGAGGTGGCCAGACTAAAACATGGCATCAATGTATGAAGTCTCTGACTGTTGGTTTAAGCCATGTAGGACGATGCAGACTAGGTGGTTGGGGTCCACGGGACAAGAGGAACCAGTGGTTGGAGACCCTAGGTGATATGGCTCAGAACCGAAGTCAGTGGCGCAGATGTATACACACATTATCCTCATCTTAACAACGCTATACCGAATCTCACCATTTTGTCACTCCTCTTTCCTTTCTTCTCATACTTTGTATTTCTTTTGACTGCATTCACTTATCTTCATCCTTCACCTCACTACCTTTTTACTTGATGTGCTGATATGAGGTGTGGCAACTCGGACCGTTACGCAGTAATGCCTGGTTCTATGTTGATAATGATGATGAACAATGTCTAGTGTCACCGCACATTACACTAAACACACAATTATTCCAACCACATTCAAACAGTAAGGAAGCCACTGGAATAGTGTTTGTGACATATGTTCAAGCCACAGGAACAAACATGTGTTTCAAGATAGTATAACTGATTGAATATGATCCCGACCACACACAAACAGGCATCAGAGCGTCTCAAAATCACTTGTACAATATGCCTCCTGGTTGTGAGCAATCTTACGAACACAACTATGATCGAGCACCAAGCCGCCGTTTCAAGAGGCTGATTTTCACAAGTATGGAGCAGAATTGACAACACTGAAGCGCATCACCGACCTTTTACAATTAAGCTGAAACCAAACTGTAGAAAGCTTAACGGTAAGTGATATTGATTTACACTGTGATATTTCTAACAAGCAAACTAGCAGTAGAGGCAGATGAAATGCATGAGCAGAACAACTCTGTACTATTTACGTAAGATACCATGAGATTTGAAAGTCACCCTTAGATTACTGATTTTATGAAGCTTACTTTCATATTTTTCCACCAGTATTTGTTCTTCAGCTTCCCTGCACTGGCCTCGAACTGCGAGGCGCCCGCCTGCAGAGCATCTAGAAAACCAAAAGAAAAAGTAGCTTCAGTAAACTAAGGTCCCGTTAATTTATAGCATAAATGTCACTTAATTATAAAGTCATCTACAAAAATTCTTATTCAAAACCAACACACAAAAACTGGAAGCTTGGTATAATATCATAACGCTACAGGGCGCCGTATTTCCAGACATTTAAAGAGAGAGATCAGTTTGATTATTGCTACATAAGGAGGCATCAAAAGAAGGATAAAAAGTTATTTTGAAAGCACCAGTGAAGGTCCGAGTGATAGCTAAATAAGCTAACTAGAAGTGATTATTTCTTGGTCCAAAGAAAGTGTTTTAGTAAGATTCTCACTCTGTGGTGTCGAACATATCACACCTGGTTTGGAAATTTCGGTTGTGAGATCATGGTGTAAATTCACACGTGGGTTAAACCCAGTTGTGTTACTCTCACCACTTAGATTCTGAAGGGAAAAGTGGTTTAATTCTAGTATGTCCAACCCACTAAATAGCTAGAAAGTTTTGAGGTGATATGAACAATTTGGTTGCCTGCACTGAATCAATCGGATTTGATGAACAAGCTCGACCCCAAACAATCCAAAGTCATTTGGTGTTTATATAGCTTTTAACTGACTAGTGGGAGTGTTTACCGGCTACTATTTCCAGAAATAAGGTTCATGAACAGCTATGGGGATTTGCAGGTTTTTCTTAACACAACTTAGGTTCTTTAACCCTAACAATAAGAAACCAAAAACTTTAAAAAAGGCTGTACTAAACCAACTACATATATCCTTTGAGCGCTGCAGCCATGTGTCAAGGTCGATGAAAGCCCTCTTACTAGTCGACCTTTTTTAGGTATTTAAGGAAATAAACAGCTTTACATGAAGTGTCAACTACCCTCACACCACCATCAGCCCTCTAAGCCTTTCCAAATGCTGTCAATCTTTTTGTTAGTTTCCTTTTACATTTTCTGTCAGTAATCCTACATAACTTTCCAGCTCTGCGGCAGATGATAACGATCTAACTCTACACAACAGCGTTTCTAGTCTCCTGAAACCTGGTTTCAAATTACGTAACAGAGCATTTGATGCTCAAACCTTTCGTCTGACAGAATAACAATCCTCTGTAATGAAAACTGACATTTCGGGTTCTGCAGGTGAATGTACAGTACTGAATCTTAGAGAAAGCTCTCTTCTCGACTGGATCTCAGGTTACAGTTATCTGTGCACTCTTCTAACGAATGGTACAGTAATAAGAATAGTAGCCATGCATGTTATTATTTTTGTGTTCACCGCCTGTGCACTCAATACCCGCGATTTCAGTAAATAGTTGTCTTTCTGGAATGGCAGTCACTATGCGTGGATCCGAACATGAATAAATCTGCGCTTAGATGAAAGTAAGATCACAAGCGGAAAACCTTTAAGAGTTTAATTCAATAATGAGGATGCTAGGGTTGCTGTCAAAGACGAAGTGGCTTTACATTTATCAAAACATGATGGCACTCATCTAGAAGAAGCCGAGTGCTACACAGTCCGCTGTAAAGGCAACATTGAAGACGGTAACTGACTCTCAGAAACACACCAGGTGAAGTCAGTAGATACTAGCAGCTTCTTCTAAATCAACAGATGCATGTGTCTGCATTCCTGGAGGTTTCGGTCACAATGAGAAAACAACTCAAGTCTACACCAACAGAGTACGCAATGACCTTCAACAGTTACAGTCAGAGAAGGCTGAAGAGCTGGGAAAGGCAGTAGAGATAGGAAATATTACATAGTTATTTAGACTTATGAAGGGAACTGAGGTGAAAGTTAATAGTCAGTGAAAGGTTAGTCTAAGACTCGCCTGCGGAGATGACTCCAACGGTGTGCGTAACACTTCAAAGGACAGTCAAACCGGACCTCAAATACTACGGTTGTACACCATTCAGCATAGACCTGGATGGAACGTTGACACAGCTTCTGACTCAGCTAGGTGGGCCTGTAAGTAACCTGAAACGATGAAGAGTAGTAGAGCCTGAAAGTTTTGTGCTGAACGTATTTAAGGAAGGTGGTCCAAACTTATCGATTAAACTGAAGTTTAAACTAGTGTGAGAAATGGATATAATCCTCTCTGATCTCAATGGCTGATCGTCCCAGTTGGAGATAAAATTGTCTTGTGACAAACACGAGGGAATCATTTCGAACATATCACCTGTGATTTTCAAATCCCATAATCATTTGATGCCTAGCTGAGTTTCAAAAACAACGCAAAAGAAAACTAGGCAGGTCCTAAATATGGTTGTGCTGAGCGGTATAAAGAATTGAAATGATGTTAAGAGTACTTCACAAGCAGTATAAAACGGGGGGATTATTTGTTCGCAACTATGAGAATCACTAGACGATATAATAATAATGACCGTCCTAAAATCGATAGGTAATCGTTTCCTGAAATGCATTTCTATCATTAAGACGAACACAAAGTGGCTCAGGAGGCAAGTCACATTTGCTCAGTGATTTTACTTGTGGAGACTTCAAATACGATTAAGACACGCAGTGCATTTGACATGAATGTGACTGCGATCTAGAAACTTGATGATACGTCAAGTGACTAACTATGCTCACAATATTTACCTAAGCATATATGCACAGATCAACGAAAAATGCTGATCATTGCTGCCATGAAATATGTATCCAATTTCGTCTAGGAGGTGAACTTGCGATTATTAGATAAGTGACCTGGATGTGCAGTTCACTGATTAAAGAACCCTACCTTTACTCAAACGATTTGAAACACTATATCATTTACCAAGCATTGGGGAACCAAGTCTTACTATTAGTTTTAGAAGATACAAATAAAATGCTATCATACATTTGAACAACAAGTAAGAATTACGACATATGAACCAGAGTTATTGCGTGACGATCCCAACCATAGCACTTCACATTCAAACGTGATTGCTAAGTTTACTTTTATTTGTAGGGCTAACCGATAGCCAACTGGGACGACGGTATTCTCCTTAAACATACGTACGTAAAAATTTTGACGGTTAAGTAGGCAAGGAACTGATTTTTTTTCACTGCTATGACAAGTTATTACATATGATTTTTTCTATTTTCCATTACCAAAACCGTCGCTCTAAAAACATTTCACAAAATCATGTGTAGGTGGAAAACGATTCCAGTAAGTGCATGTTCGGCTAGGATATATCAAGTTGGTTGGTTTGCAAACTGTTAGCGTATTATACCGTAATTAATAGCAAACACCCAGCCTGACCATATGACTGTAAGCAGAATGCCAGTATACGAATAACACTGTAGTAGTGCGCTGCAGCTTTTATATGATGGGAACCCATGTTATAGGTCACCATGAAAACATTGAATAGATGTGTGAATCACTAGTTTATGTAGTTGCTTTTCAACAAGTGGGTCACGGGTCTAAATCCCGTCCCACCTACCAAGGTCTAGGCAGTCGGATAGTGCCATCAGTCCTTACGCAATAAGTAGGATTCAGCTCCCGCTTCGTGAGTATGCGCCTAGTTGCTGAGGGAAGTTTAATCCAAAAAGTGCCCACACTGCATTTAGATAGGTATTTTTCCCCAACATAACAGATCGAAAGCACAGACCGACGTAACATTTTTAGTCAAATCCAGTTTGTAAGGGTTGGTGTTAATACCTAACTGCTTCCAGGAGTGGATTGAGTCACACTTGTGGCATGAACACTTAAAGATAAATGTAGTGGGTGTGATATGTTAAATTCAAATTCAGAACACACTAGCGTACCACAAGGATTGTAGGAATGCATGGTGTTATTCCTAGCAACAAAACGCATTTTCTCTACACAACTTAGTAAATATATTAGTGAAAATCGAGTGTTCGATGATCCTATAATACTATTCGAGTGGTTTTAATATAGGCTAACAGCATGAACGAGTTTGACAGAAATAAGCTAGTGTGTGATACACCACGTCAAACATTTAAATGAACCTGACCCCTAAGTTTACCATGTAATAAGCTACCCGTTGGATTTACAGAAATATGTTAACACTAGTGGAGTCACTCCTCTGGTAAAGGTAGGAGGGTGAGGTTAATGACATCCCACCGTCCGGACACAATCTCTTGACAGATAACAGCAGACGTTAGTAATGAGATGAAAATATGACAGGTTATGACGAGTTTTGTCTCTTCTCAGGCAATTGTACGCATGTTTTCACTCCTAATAAGCCATAAAGATTCTTACGCAGAGGATCATCATGACCAATATATGTGCTAGCAGTGTGACTACTTAAGCAAGTAACTTTTATTTAGACTGAAGAAGTCAAATAGCGACCAAATTCAAAAAACTAGATTATTAACGTACGGATTAATCGTGATATATGAAGCGACAAAGAATGGTTTATATGGTGAGTTCTCACAGTATTTAGAGTGTTATTCCATTATAGGCTTCTTCGCTGATTACTGAGCTTGAGTTGCATGCCATGGTAAAAAAAATCTTAAGTTGACATTGACTCCCATCTATCCTGAACTGAAAGTAAGTAGTTTTAGCATAGGCAGTCTACTTAGCCACAGTAGGATCTAATAATGCAGCAAGATAAAAGGCAATCATACGAAGGATATAAAGAGACAAAATGCATAATCAAGTCATTAGAGGTCATAAGAAGAGGACTAAGTCAAAGAAGACGTGCTGACGCATCTGTGTCACACAGATAGATTCTGAGTCATATCACAGGGCTTACTTGATACCCCCTTAACAATCAGCGTAATTCCTCCACACCATACGATCTTAGTTCAACTGTTGTAGATGGAGGGGAAGGACGCTGTGCACTAACCCATAGTTACGATCCAAACCTAACACTGCTTCGGTGTTTCAGAAGTCTATGCATAATATAGCACGTACAGAACAGAAAATAATTCCGATGCACTCAAGCGGTTTCTGGCAAAATCAGGGACGAAACAAGCTAATATTGTAAGAATGTACAGCGTTTTTAGCACTACTAAAACCCTAGGTCGATGTGACATCCTTCGAACGTCCTACAGTACCTTACTTGTGCTACAAGATCTGACATAAGGAAATGGGTATCAGTGACCGCAAAATCAAAAACTTAGAAACTATTACTGTATACTCACCTGCTCTATCATCTAACTGACTGAGCTTAGCATCACGTTCTAACACCTTTTCCATATTCACCCGCATGATGTCCACGACTTCATCTACCTGGGCTTGAGTTTGTTGAAGTCGTTTATTTTGCGGCCGCGGTTGTGGAGCCCCTCCATTGGCAACGTCCGCAGCTCCCGTATCGGCTGACCTGAATAAAGAGGGGAAGTTCAGTTATTATACACACATATTAGCAGCGCGTCACCTATATCTACAAACCACTTACATTTTACAAAAGCAGTCAATAGTACCGCGCTACTCTGAGTTCCATATACTCATTGATGGGGTCAAACAATTGACATTCATATCATAAATGAAGACCAAGAACGTTTGGTTTGAATACATTCGGTTTTCAAACCTTCTGTAGCGGCGCACAGTTACCTAGAATCAGTAGTCTAGGATTCCATGAAATTCAACATTCATGCTAACCTTCATAGTTTTATCTGACTTGCAAAGCTGAAGGTACATGGTCAGTCATCCACGTCATTTGGTATGGTGTCGTGCTACGTTGGACTGCTCGTAATCAACCTTCTGGCCAGTAAGTCAGAAAGCATCGGTATTTTGGCGCGAACTTTCAAATATACTATTCCATCTAACTACGCTACTGTTTTCTTCCTTGATCTTGCACTCGTGCGTATATTACAGCTATGGATAATTAGTAATTGACCCCGGTGTCTGCCAGGCTGGCACGAAGTCAATTCCTTGACTTTTTAATACTCAATACCTTTTTGCTAGCCCGTTACAACCAACCAATTTTTTCGCAGTCGCTTCAGGGTCATGTACGGCAGTTCCAGATCTTTAGTGGGTCTTGATGCATCAGGCCTGTCCAATTGCCCGGCGTATCTCTGATTTCCTCGATTGGTGTTGGGTGTTGGTCAAAGTTTTAGGAGGGTGCATGATTTGTCTTGAGGCTCTGGTCCACATGGGTTCCCCAAATGTCATTTCACCGGTTAGATGTTTGGACTGGTCAGAAGCATGCACATCTCTATTCCTTCAGCAACGAGTTGCAAAATTTTGAGAAAAGGAGAAAATGATCTACAAACTTGTGGTGGATCTCAGATATTTTCATAGATTATGGCGTTCTAGCGGCAAAAGCTCCCAGAAATTGGTAGCAAAGGATTCAACGAGGCTCAAAACTAAGGCCAACATTCCTAGTTTTAACGGACTGGCTAAGTCCGCCTAAACAGTCGTCTGATATGAGCCAGCCATTAGAACGAGAGTCCCCTGTCACACCCACGTTTTCAATGGCGTTCTTTTCCTAACCACGAGCTAGTGTCGTCATGACTTTCCCATCAGTCTGAAAGTAGCTAGCACAAAATCGATCGCGATTTCAGGAAGGGGGCATGCTTATGGCGACTTGTGTTTCAGCAAACTTAATCACTAGATTTATTTTCTAGCTAGTATCCTCTTACCTATTACTAGCATAGATTTGCTGAACAACTACCAAACACTAGCGGATGCCCGTCAACGGCGACTGGTTGGTAACAACGTGAGGTTATCCACTGATGGAACAGCCTACGGAGTCCTGAGTTTCGCTTCGATCGGAACGAAACACTCACCTGACTTATATCAAACAGTGTTGTACAAATACCCAGGGTTGAAATAACCGACACAAACCTTGACGCACAAAACCAGCAGTGCTGTGGCTCATGTGGAGACCGTGGAACCACCCGTGGCATCCAGAGCAAGATGTCTGGACCCTGGTAGGCTAGGAATGAGAAGCAGGTAGTTCGAAAGCATGCCCGAACTCGATATCATCAAACCATCAAACTGTCTCTGTGCCTCAAAGTCGTATATGGTACCCATAATGGATAGCAGTGATTGGCGCCCAACATGTGATTGGATGCGATATAGGTTTGCGCAGCTCCGTGGGATACTATAAGCCACCTCTAGATCCCCTGTCAGCATTCTGCGCATCAGTGGATATACATCAAGCGCAATCAGTCGTTCCCCCGGGGTTCGTTCCGTCGCTAAGCAAGAAGCATCTCTGCACTGCAGTAAGTGTCGTGTAAACAGCCATTCCCACTACCTTTTTGACTTTTGAAATTTCGGAGCGTCCTTCGGTCTTCAGAACACTGGGTAAACATTCGCACGTTTCACAGACGTCCGGTTTTAGGTCACTGACTGTCTTATCACGAATACTGCTTAAAAATTTGGACCTAAATTGAGACAAACTAGAAGAGCATGCCTTCACAGCAAAAATACTGAAATATTAAATAGAATTTGAATTACTTGATACCCTTGGGAATACTGCTAAAAACAAAGGAGCACCCACACTAGCGATCACAGTGGGGGGCATTCTTGACCGACTGATAAACGGCTACGGTGAAGCCACCCAGCATCATCAACAACCATGTCAACTATCACTAGATGTTTGTCCTCAACAACTGATTCTCTTGGTTAGCATATGACTTGTATCTCTTGGCACGGTAGTTAACTTTGCCCTCTATGAGTTCAGGGACACCAATGAAAACGCAATCATACCTGAGGTTCATGGTCCCAATGCTCCCATAGTTATTACTGTCGATGCATCCATTTCGGTACCTGAAGCCACTCCATGGCAGTTGATGGTGCATCAGTAGCATCCACCAGCCCATCCATAGGGGCAGCCACAAGAAGCGGAAACAAGGTGTAAGATTTATGATTGGAAACATCCAGCATCACCTTCGACACCCAGGTGCAGACCATGATTCCATCATATTCGCAAGTTAGAAAAGGTTCGCCCTAGCCCTTGATTCGGTATTCTACAGGTTCTCCCAGTTTTGATCGGGTACAAATAAGCGTTGCGACTTGTAGGGCCCTTATAAACACTACTATGAGTCTCTGCCTCTTAGTAGGCTTTGTATTCACTACCGACTTCAACTGGATGACGACGAGCAGCTTTTAATGTACCTGCTCAAGTCTACCGACTTGATTTGCCCACTAGAGCGTTTGAAATGAAGGCAGTGCTACTGTCACTGCCTTCTCAGTTGCTAAGTTGTGATATTCCGTCGTGAGTTGTCCTAAGGCCTAACCGTAAGCTCCGGGTCCAAAACGCTCAGTTGTAGAGATTCTGGTGGATGCTATCTTTGCACTCCTGTGAACCTTTTTAAAATGTTATTTCGGAGATCTGCGCCAGCACTTTTGTAGAGGGATGTATGATGAAGTCCGAATCTCTATACTCCACAACAACCAACCATAGGTGTGTGCTCGAGCGTAAATCACTCCAAGTTTCAACCGGGCTCTTAGGTTTGACTGGATCCTGAGTGATAGCCTGTCGCGCGCACAAGCCAGTGGTATGGCGAAAAGCTTCCATTGACCGCTTTAAGCCGCCCCCTTGGTCGCAAGCGGAGCATAGTAAATCTACTGTAAGTCTACTGGGCGTCTGGGAAGCACCGGAAGCGGATCCTAGATGCACTTCCATAGAGCTTGCCTAAGGGACCACCCTTCTACTTCCGGGTGAGCTCATCTTAGCACCCATTTTCACAACCGTCCTGACTTCTTTAACTTCATAACCACTGTGCGTGACCAACACCTATTAGTCCTTATGCTCTATCTAGACATTTCAAAGGTATTCGACGGAGCCGATCACTTGCCGTTAATAAGTAAGTTGATGACTATGGGAATTGACTATCCACTATTGGAATGTATTAAGTCTTTCCTCAGTAATAGCACTCAAGTGGTGAAGGTAGATTCATATACTTCAAAACCTAGGCCAGTCACCTCTGGTGTTGTTCAAGGCAGTGTATTAGGCCCCCTTCTCTTTACTTTATACGTCAATGACATCTGCAGCTACTTTGCATACGGTAAACCATTCTTGTTTGCTGATGACCTAAAAGTTGCATACACATTCACCCGTGATAATTTATCCCACTTCCAAGCACTAATACAAAGGGAGCTCGATATAATATCCGCATGGTCTGCTGCTTGGAAACTTCAGTTCAATGCAGGCAAATGTGGCTGGATATGTTTTGGTGCTCCATCGGTGGATATCCAACCACATCTTCAGCCTACGAAACTTCCTGTTCTTAAAAGTGTGTTTGACCTTGGACTAAGATATTTAAGAGACCTCAGGTAGCATCACCGACCAGCAAATCTAGGCTCCTGATGAACTGCATAGTTCGTAAATTCCACTTCAAAGAAGTCAAGTTGCCACTCCACAAAACCTGCGTACGTCCACCATTAGAACACTGTCCATTTATACTGAGCGGTATGCGCATAACAGATAAACATAAAAGAGAGGGTGTCCAAAGGTATTTCATGGCTAGATTGTTAGGACACGACTGCAAAACAGGACTACAGCTCCAGATGCAGAACACTAAGTCTAGAAAAACTTTGGATGAGACGACTCAAAATTAACCTGATACTATTCTTCAATGTGTTACATAAATACACGTTTACAGCCAGTGGTGAATTTCAGTTCGAACACAACAGTTGTTACGATCTGCGCAACCACACCCATAGCGTCAAAATGAAGTCGTCTAAGTCTTGCGCGCAAACTTCGCCGTCAAATTCTCTCAAATGTGGAACAGGCTTTCAGCTGAAGTGAAGGCCTCCAAATCAACCTCTGAATTTGGTCGGTTACTGGCTGACTTCTTATCGTCTGGTGACTTTTCCGGCTTATCGAATACACCAACAGTCTACTTCATGACACTTCGTATACTCGGCTCTCTTAACGTATAATGAGACAACCACCACACCTACACTGACGCTTCGTTTGAAGCGTTGAGGTAACTTCCATAAGTTATCACCTCAAACTAACGTCGCATTATGCCCCACCCAACACGGTAATCAAAAACAGGAATCCTATATCACATAACAGCGTGGAGTTTATATTTTTAAATGCTCTATAGAAAAAGGAAACACAATGAAAGCCATAGCAAGGGAAGTTAAGTAGGGAGAAACATGAACATAGAAAACACTCTCCTTCTTGAAATTCTTGCTTTCTCCGCCTGCTGCTTTGTCTGTTCCTTTCTCGTTGTAGAAAAATAATTCAGTTCTAAACGTTGGCTTTGTTGCTATACAGGATCAATTACTTAAGGAATAGACCATGGCTGAAACTACCCTTCATGGAGGGCAACCAGCTTTACCAAGTTCAGAATACCTAAACACAACAAGCAGAAATAAAAAATGTTCACTGGACTACAACTTCATGATTATCAACATCTAGGATTTATTGATTATAAAAGTGACCAGCAAAGTCCAACACTTACCAACTGCAAGGCTGTCACGACCCGTGAAAACGTAGGACAAGATGTGCTGGATGTCCATTTAGTGCATTCAGACAAGTCTATTGCTTTTGGGAGCTGGAGTTGGAAAAGTGAAGA